TTTTTTTTTTGGCTTCTTATTGTTGTTGTTGAAAATATTTCTTACATTGTTGTTGTATTTATACAATTAATTTTGAATTTTCTTGTTTTTTGATAGACTGTTGTAAATGAAACAACGTATGTGTGTGTGTGTGTGTGTGTGTGTGTGTGTACCTTCACCATTCCTTTCTTCCATATTTTTTTTTATTATTATTATTTCCTTTTTTTTTTTTTTGTTTTTAATGCGATAATTTATTTGATTTTTTACGTTTGTACTTTACATCGGTGGCGGTGTGTCGTTTTTCTCCTTTTCCCCCAAAAATAAGATGTTTATCCTTGTAAAAACCTTCACTACCACCTGACTGTCAATTATATATATATATGTATGTGTGTGTGTTTTTTTTTCTTTCTGATGTTTTAATTTTTTTTTTTTATTTTCTTGAAAATGAAAGAAAAAGAGTAAAAGAACACCTTTTTTTTTTGCATTCATTTTTATTTTAATTATTTTTTTTCTTTCTTTCAAAGTATTTATTTCACCCAGCTCATGTATTCATCAGCAGCGACAATTACAGCAAAAACAACAACAGCAACAACAAGGAAAAGGAGAAGAAGAACACACGGTATTGTACGTGAATACGTGTCTGTGTCTATTTGTTCTTTTGTATTTGGGTAGTTGATATATGTATATAAATATATAATGTATCAGTCGTTATACATTACCTCGATTTGATGTTAACGTTGACAATACTGTTTCGGGTACAGCTATTGCTGAATCGTCCTTTTTTTTTTCATTTTCATGTATTTATTCAATATTTTTTTTTTCTTTCCTTTCAGGGGTTGAATTCTTGTGAAGGGGATTAATATATATATTTTTTGCTGCAAAAATTTTTTCTGATGATGGCATTCAACCCAGCCGCTGCATTCAATACTCCTCAGGTATGTGTATTCAAGATATTTTTTATTTTTCATCTATCAGTCAATTATATTTTCTATCGATGGTGACAAATTGTGAAAAAGAAAAAGGAATTTTTTTTTTCCTAATTATTCGGCTACTGTTCTTTATTATCTGCTGAATAATTTTTGTTCTGCAACAGAGGTTGTAGAAATAAATCTTTGGTTTATCATATCATCATAATTTTTTTCTTGTCTTTTCTTTTAATATTACTTATAACAAATAAGAGAAAAGAAGAAAGGAGGGGTT